GTAAAAGAATCAAATACTTTCTAATTATTAACCACTTCACTTCTAATGACAATAATTTAATAATATAATGTAACAATACCCTACATCAGGACAACCAGCCTGGTCAATTAATTATAGATCCTTGAGTAATTTAGACTGATCCTGTACCGTTTCAAATATCCAGCTGACAATTAATTCACTTGAGGGTAGGGTAGTTATCTGGAAGCACATGAAAGAAAAATATCTTCTAAGTAAATATATTATAATTATTAACTAAGGTTTCAATTTAAGTAACACAGTGATATGAGTATCCATATTCTTAATGATTTATCCGAACCGCGTGATTATGGTGCGATATTTTTACAAATACCTTCCAATACCTAACAAATAAAAAAAAACATATGCTTAATAAAACTATAGTAGTCCAGAGTAGGTTACTTTACTTAATTCATTGGATCTTCAATTATCATTTAATTATTATCAGATCTATGTTGTCATTTTACAAGTGCATGTTTAAATAAATTCAGTCAAAACTTGTTTTTGGTGTTTGAATTTTTTTCACGATATAATATAATATAGATATTTCTAATTAACCTAAACACAGGCGATAATAAAAAATAAACATTTGAGGAGACACTTGTATTAAATCAGTCTAATAGTTTCAGTTATAATAAAATAATATATGCGTTAGAACGACTAAATAAAAAACCATAAATTCTTTCAACTTCCTATTAAACTACGACTATCACTTTATACCGTCAAAGCTTCCGTGGTAATTAGCTCTACTGTTACTCGCTAGTCGTTTGCAAACCATAGAGGTACGTATAACATTAAAAGTAACAGTCACATATAATAGTACTTTGTGAAAACTTGGTAACAAATATAACCTACATCACCACCTTAATACAATATACATATTAGTCCGGGTTAATTTCTTCAGTAGTAATATATGTATAGTCGACCGGGCGAACTCTATTCCGTCTTAAATAATCAGGTATTGGTATTTATCAAATTTTTCCTGTTTCAATGAATGAACAGAATGATTGACATATCAGTTAGTTGTCAAATCTAATGTTAAAAACCGTTTGAATGGGAAATAGAAAAGGGCTGTGTAGTGTATAAAATCTATCGATCTACGATCCATTATTATTTTTATGTGTTAAGTAATAATTGTTATAAAGTAAAAGGCTTGCATTAATTATATATATATTGTCTTAAAATTAAAAACAACAAGACATTCTTGATGTGCCTTTCTGTATATGAATGTAATATAAGAGTATTTAAATAAATTAGTATAATAGTGTTGTTATAGTCTTTGGTTAAAAAGAATATTTTGTTCTCAATTAGTTTTCCATTAAATTAGAAATATGTGTACATATACATACATATGAAGTAGTATTGGTTGTATACTACCTACTTATGAATATATATATTAAACTAATATATATGTGATTATATGTGGTTATGCACTGAAACAATAAAACGGTGAAAAATGAAAACGATCACGAAAGTCAAAATGTTGTATTTGGCAGCAAGTGTACGAGCTAATTGAAATATTTACAAAAATGTATGGTATAAATTATTATATGTATTTATACTATAAATTATTAACTACAACTAAGTGTCGCACTTGACCGTTCTGCTCCGCGCTACTCATTAGACTACCAAGCGCATACCACCTCCTCCAGTGTGGTACGTGAGACAGTGTATTATATCTATTGTATAGATACATACACTACAGGCTATTTTTAGCGTTTTCCCAGAAATTAATCAATTTTTTTAGCTTTTAAACCTTCCCTGAACTTTCGTGAATATTTCAAGACTAAGATGAGATAAATCCCTTCAGCCGTTCTCGAGTTTTAGTGAGACCAACGAACAGCAATTCATTTTTATTTGTATAGATGTTTGTCCTATATTTGCTTTTCATACATATGAAGCCATATAATTCTCAACTAAAGTTTAATTGATAAATTATTATTTAAATACATATTTATTTTTAAATTATAAATAGATTATTTCCATTATTTTGTATGGAATTAATCCTCATCCTTGATAATAATATGGTAATAATGTTAATCTGCTACGCAGATCACAAGCTGTGCACCACGAATAAATTATTTACCCACGATTTGTCATCTCAATATATTTATCAAATTTCAAGATGGCGCTCATAAATCAAGTCGTCTTTGTGTGTAATGATGCGTAAAATAATGTTGGCAAAAGAAAATTAGGTTCTGTAGGTTGTTTTGATTTTTTTATGTGTGTATAAAAGTGGATTATTCTATATAATATGACTGATACAATACTCTTAAACACCTCAAGCGATCTTTGATCTAGAATTAAATGTAATATGTAGATCTGATGTACATACATAAAGCCCCTAGCCTTTAGTTCGACTATAATATATGTAACAAGTTTTCCATGCATGTTAAGTCAATAGTGTGTATTTGTTCTTTCAAATGTTAAAGTAGTTTATAACATTGAGGATGATATATATAGAAATTACTTGAATTTTATTTGCATGTTAAACCGTTTAACTAAAATAGTTTTATAAAGCGTATAGTTATATGAATTGTGACTAATAATGCGTATCGTAATAAATTTATTATTACCTTATATATTACAGCCTCTATTTATTTTTCTCTAACGTTTTAAAAGTAAGTAAAGTGCGGTGAGGCGCTTTTTTGTAGATATTTTCATATTTTATTATGCTTCTGGGGAGTGTCAACGTATTTTACGGTTAAAGGAGATTTTGTATCGCAGAAGGAAAATAAATAGCTACGAAAGGGAAATACTTTTTTAAGGTGTATTGTGTCATATTGTGTTTATCACGTTGTGAGTCATTCATTGTTGGTGAAATGAAATATAAATAAAAACGGCTGCTTCATATTTACTACAATGATGTTTATCGTGATATTATTAAATGTTAAATTTCTCATTTCTGTTTTGTTCTCACTAATTAGTTTTAAACTTTTCTTTCTTCCTATTCTCTTGTACAGTAATATATTTTTAAGAACCTATATTATTTATATATAATAATTTATTGGAGAAAGATCGAAGTTGTATGGAACACTTTTACACTTACCGCCATTTAAGTATTAAAGTTCTATCATTTCATTTGGAGGTTTTCAAGCGTTCCACTGTTTATTAATTTACATTGATAATTTCCATTAACCGGTACGTTGTCGAACTTTACATATAAAGCGTTCCGAATATTTCCTGAGGGTCGGAACTTTTGTATTCAAATCATTTTGTATCATCAATATTATTAAATTTCGGCTTAGCTTCAATAATATTCAGACACAGATGAATATTCGAAACATATCAAATCGTGTTGTGGAGACGAAATGTTCAATTATAATATATTAAAACGATGTTAATGTTCATTGTCAATACACTGAAGACATATTAAAATACCTATTTGTCTATTTATAATACCGTTTTACCTCTGAGCTGTGTATATTGGATTTTGGGATTCTAAAGATATCATTATCAAATATGTACTCAGCACCCGTTTGACTGGGAGTTACGTGGCTTCAAGTAAGTTGATGTTTAGTAAGAGTTTTCAGCGTTTACTTTAAAACTGACAGTTATAACGGTTCTTATATGAAAATATTGATGTATTTTGATGTAGAATGGTTAAGAAACTGTCCGGTTATTGTCAAGAATTTAAACTCCTATCAAGACACAAGTTTTTTTATCCTTGCATAAGTATATTACTGTCGGCAACAGAAAAAAAAATAGTAGAACCTTAACATAAGAAGTGAAGCTTATGTAAAAATTAAGCTTTTCTTGGATGTCGCTATTAACTCTAAAAACAGCAACTGGGATTAAAGACGCAACAAAGCGGCGACAATGAGGATTTATAGCCCGTGGTCTCGTCCCCGGCTCTGAATTACCACTGAAATAACACGCGAATTGTGCTGCCTCCTTACAGACTATAAATTTAATACAAAAAAAAGGATAGTATAAAGGCAAGACGAAACATATTTCAATATTAAATATAGCAGTTGAAACAAGTTGCAAGTGATTCTATTAGACAAAAATATTTATTTATTATTCTTATTTAACACCACTGTTTTTCTTCTTTGGAATCCCATGGTCAGTAAAACTATAAATTAAAGTATTATGAAGTTATATATTTTTTAAAGTGTTGGTCCCTTTCACATTGAAAATAATAGATCCCCTAACTAGCTTCTGTGGCAACTTAAAATGGTCTAAAAGCAATGTGTAAGTCTGCCAAATGTACGCAATTGAACAAATAAGATATATGACGGCAGTGAACGTCATTAAATAGTTTTATGTGCGTTTGATTATATATCATTATTATTTGGTAAATTGTATAATATTATAAGGTGAATTAAGTGAATTATATATACGGAAATTCAGTAACACTGCAAAAAAAACTATACTTAAGACGGTGATAATAATTGTATGATAATATAATGACAAGTATAATTTAAGTTCCATATTACATATTTATTCAACGTATTTACTTTTATGATGAGTTGAATGTTCGTTTCATTCTTGAAAATTCTGTGACTTAAAATTCTCAGTTCTATAAAATATCATGTGAATACATTAATGTAGTTGAAACTCACGTCTTAATCTATTTTTGTTCCAAAATTTGAATCTGATAGGACATTATGGTGATTTACATTGTTTTTAAAGTTTTATTGCAGCTGAACTGAATATTTGTTGTAGACTATGTTATAAATGGGTTAAATTTAAACTTTATTGGCAAATCTATTCACTTAAATACTACTCAAGATGTGTTAGTTTTTTGATTAAACTTTTATAACAGTTTATACTATTCAATAAATGTTGCATTGCTTGTTATCACAGCGTCAATCAACAGAGAATGGAGTAACAAGAAGGAATGTTTGTAAAGTAAAATATAGTTATTTATTCATAGATATGTATTATTAAATTTTATTTTCATACATGAGAAAAAATTAAGACCATAAGTGTTAATTACCTTTTAAAAAAATAGATATTAGTCATGGACTTTCCCAACATTATTAATGATCATGTCTGGGCACAAATCTGACAATGGAATCATCTTTTGGTTGTATATTAAAAGCGTGTGGTTTCAATACTACAGGGTCCATAGTTTTCGAGCATTTAACGATCTTGAAGTTTGACAAAAGTTCAAAGATCAGAATTTTAAGCTCAAGTTGCGCGAATCTTATTCCTGAAAAGGTACAAAATAGTACTGGTAAGATTAACACATAAATGTTGCATATGAATTCAAAGTTAATTTGTAAATTGTCATACCAATACAGATCCGAGGACCCATACCAAAGGGCATATATGTAAATGGTTTAATTTTATGCTTGTTCTCATCTGAAAATCTTTCGGGTTCAAACTTTTCAGGGTTAGGATGGTAGATGGGATCCATGTGAATACAATTTACCATGTTGTAAACAACATCTCCAGGTTGTAGCTGAAACCATTTGTATAGACTAGGAAAAATATATGGAACCAAGTATACAAGTAACATCTGTGACATATACATCAGCACTAATGACAGTTGTAACATCATAATAACTCGTGGCTTACATCAATTATTGCATTTTTAATATTAGGTACCCAATCCAGCTTCGCAGGGATACATTTCAAAGAATATAAAATAGTCTATGTTGCATACAATGCCCTGAGTACTTTCGTTTTGAGTTAAAAGAAGACAAACAAAAGTATTGATAAGACAAACAAATTATAGTTTTTTTAATAAAGTTAATGACAAAAAAAATTATACAAAATTAGTGACGTTATCTTTTGAAAAAGTGAGCGATCACGGATTAAATTTTGAGAATTATTAAACTTATGATAACTTTCAAATGCTAGGTCCGAATTAAATAATACAAAAAGTAATTTATAGATACTGATGTAGGATTGGATACAAAGTAATTTATTTCGATAAAACTTAATACTGTAATTATGAAAATGCTTTCCTATAAACGCTTCATGAATGGCAAATTTTAAAAGAAGTAAAATGGATATAGTATGTGATCCTTAAGAGATAAATATATGATATCGCGGACTTTTCTGTAGACCTATAATAATAGATACACAATTCCACCATACTTTGTTTTGTTATATCTCAAAGGGTTATGGTAGCATTTGTGTTAAAAGATACCAGACGGCTCTATTTTTGAATTTTGATATAAATTCGACTGATAGGAGCACTAAATTTCAGGTAAGTTTTTTAAGAATACAGTATCTTCAACAAATACAAGTACATTTAGAAGTGTTAAATATTTTTAATGAAGCAGCATGGAAGTTGTAGAAGTATATGAGTAAATGACGCCAGCAAGCTGACATTACCTTTTTGAGGCTAATGACTTGGTACTAAATCCTGTATATATATTATACACAAAACAAAATATTTTTTTCATGAAGGTTATTAATTAAAATTTTAATGAGTATTTTTGTCATTTTATTAAACTATCGCTTACTTGTACAGGCTTTGCTCCTTCTCGGGGGGGAGGAAGTTCATAAGGAAGAGTACAGGTTCTATCCATAATCAAAGCTGCTGACCATTTTCTTGAGGTCTCTGAAAAAATAGAAAAAATAATTAAGCTGCTAATTTAACTATATAAAGATGATTTTCTGACTGCGAATGGTGAAAGTTGATATGTAAAAATTTATTTTTAATATATTTTGATATCTGATAATGGCGATATTCAACGGGATTATATTAAACTTGTAAATAAACATTGTAAATAGTTGATTTATGATAAAGAATGAAATGTTTTAAGCTTCACATAGTATCAACTTCAAAAGTTATGCCAACAGCATTAAGTTTCACAGATAACATAATATGCGTAGCAATATAAAAGATCGAATATATAAACAAAAATTACTAAAATAGTAATCATGAATATTTGTTATTTCAATATTGATTAAAGAATTGATCATGTAATATCTTAACTACGGCGTCTTTGAGGGCAATGCACCAGGTCCAACACTTTCTAATATTTAATAATACTAATATGTCAAATAATAAAAAAAGAGGAATAAATAAAGGAGGAGGAGGCCTTTGAGTTTTATCAAAAGAGTTGGGAAAGAGTTCGTAATTCTATTAAATTATTAATTTGAAATGTGATTGTTTGTCCAATTTGTCGTCCATACTATTTCTAACTATCCTTAACTAAAGATTAAATTTTAAAATTAAAAGTTAATGAACTATTACATATTTATAACTCGCAAATGATTCCTCATACACAACTTTACTTAATTTGATATACTTACCGTTAATTTAAATTTACAATCAATAAATGTATGTAACATTGACAGCTGTAACACTGTGTAGTAATAACACTTAACGGTCGAGTTAAATTTTCTGTCTGTTTAATTTTTTAAGCAACCTTAATATGAGTTTAAAACATGATCCGTGTAACACTACTAAACCACCACTCCACTACTAACAAACATGTCAATGTTAACTAACCCTCAAATATCGATATAGATCATTTCAATAGAATTTAGCAATCTTGTAAACAAACGTGATCAGCTGATATTGACAGAGCCCCTTGAAATGAGAGTACTCCTCAAGAAACTTTATTTATTAAAACATTTATATAAAACAATACTTCTATTTCTTGGCCTCCAGACCAGACATATTTATGTATTAGAGAAATTTAAAGCGCGTTGTGATGATAGCGCTCACGGTTCCTTGGGAAACCAACATCTCCAAAGACTATGCAATCAGGGTCAAATCTTTATTACGAACTCATCAACGATTTAAAAAAAATGATATTCGTACTTTTTGTGCTATCTATGTTTAGTTCCGCCAAATACCAAAAAAATTGCAATTGGTTGACTGATTTTTATTTCAGTCAGATGAATACACTGTAGTGTTTGTAATATTCATATCTTTTTAATATTTAAGAGTTCGTAAAAGTTCAAATAATAATGATAATAAATATATTTATTTAAACAGGAAAGTCGTGTCTTAATAATAAATATGTCTCAAATAGACTTTGATGAGTAAAATGATCATGTCAATTAGACAAATGCAATCAATTTTTGTGTTCAAAATAATTTTATAAAATAAACATATATACACAGTTTTTTCATGATAAAAAGGTTGTTAAAAATAGTGGCGGGTTCATTGAGATGTAATTATTATCAGGACTGACATTCAATCGTACGTAATAACGGTGTAATCGTGGTCAATTGCTTTGTTTACAATTTCTATTGAAATGAACATAGATCTATTGATTGATACGTAAATTTGATGAACGAATCCTTTTAAACAATTGAGCCAAATATAAATTTGAAGTTTTTGAAATGTAATGATGTAAGAAACAAATGGAGATAATAATAAAATGAGATGAGTATTCTCACCATTTAAAACGCAATCTAAATATTTTAGATTATGTATATGGTCGAAGGTAATTTCTCCGTGTTTCTCTTTGAACTCTTTGATCTCTTGATACAATTTCTCTTGGACATCGGGGTTCAGAGCCAATTCATGAACGCACATGACTAAAGTTGATGCTGAGGTTTCATATCCAGCGGCAAAGAATATGAAAACTTGGCTCGCTATTTCTTCTACAGACCATTCTGTAACCAAATAGTTTTTTTTATAAATTTACCTCAATTTTGTTTTCAGCTAAATATTTTTTTCATTAATATTTTTAATTCTTTGATTTTAATAGCCTCGCGGATTAATCTTAATTTAGATCGAGGTTCTGTGGTTAATCAAACCGAATGTAGCTCGTCAATTCTGTGGGCACACATCGATGACTTCGACGTGCGCCTAGGTTTATGTCCGAAAATTCTTTAACCCTTGCACGGACGATCCTCTTTGTTTGTCCAATGTATGACAAGTTACAATCACAATCAAGTTTTTATACATCCGCTAGTTGTAAGGGAATGGCACTCTTATACATATTTTACTGAACTTACCTTTTGCAGGTTTTTGTTTGGATGCTTCGTTACTTTCTGATTTATTACCGTTTGTATCACTTTCATCTTTCAATGTACCTAAATTTAAAATATATAATTAGCAAAGGTTTACGGAATAAACAAAAATAAATATTTTTTTATACATAAGGAAAATATAACAAATTGTTTGGATAACCACACTGCGATCTTATTGTATTCTAGCAAATAAATGTAAAATGTTTTTTTTATATTCACCTTTAGAAGCCTCCATCAGTAATTGTATCATGTCAGGTCTGTAGATATTGTTTTTTTCTCTATGTTGCATCGTGTTCACAACTAGTCCTTTAAAGAAGTTGATAACTTTTTTTGGAAATATCGTGATTCCTAGAGTCTATAAAATTTTTTTTTCAGTTAATTACCAAGAACTTAAATTTTTGGCGCAAAAAATAGAAAATATTATACATATATTATGTACCTTTGTAAAGTTCGGAAATAAGCCTACAAGAATCATATAAAATCTTTGGAATAAAGTAAAAGAAAAAAGATCTCTGCCGATTGTGAAAAATTCATTGTCTCGATCCTTGACTGAATTCACTTGAAGACCGAAGGCAGCAGAAGCTATGACGTCATTGGTATATCGTCGCATTACGTCTTGAACATCAACGTCTTCATTTGTGTGACCTGCGTTATAGAAAAAAAACACACTTCTAATACAAATATTTGGCACTAATAACTTTAATTATTGTACTCGATACAAGTTGTGACTTTCATTTTAGAATAATCTTATTGAAAACGAAACATGAGGAGTTCGACAATATTCACACCCGAAGTTTAATTAGATTTAGACGTCATTAAAAGTTAGCAAACGTTATGTTAACATAATCCGTACTGACAAGTATAAACATTTGTAATGTCTGATACGAATGTGATTAATTTGAAAATGTATTCTTTGCTTGTAGTAATTCGTAATTTCTGTTTCAATTGCTTTCTTTGTTAACATTGGAATTTAATCAAAACGACATTAACTGTCACAAAGCCCACGGTAAATATCAAGCAATGCTTAAAGTTAATTCTTTCATGAACAGGTTATTGTAATTCCACTCAAAGTTACGGTTAAGTCAAATATTAGGATTAATATCTTTATATTAATATTACTAAAAACTTAAGAATACAACATACATAAAGATAAATAAATACATATAGATGGTCACCTTTTAGATATTCTACAATGTTGGAACTAATTTCGCTCATGAACGGCATCATGAGACGCATCTTGGAGCTGGTGAACGCTGGGCTGAGGGTTGTTCGCATGCTGTGCCATCTCTCACCTGGATATATTAAAAACTATAATTAATATAGTATAACAGGCCAATAAGAAGACAGTAACATTTGTTTTATTCCAAGTGAGATCTATTAATATGATATCCTTACTTTTAAAATTACTATCTCATTGATTGATATATTCCATATATATGTATAATATATCGAATTTATAAATCAACCCCATTGATAAAAATATTTTCAATACTTTAAAATCAAGTGAAATGTTTTAAAAAGGGGGTACAGTGAAAGTATGAATGTTTTATTGTAAGTCAATAAATGAAATATAATAGAAAGCATAAGTCTGACATGACATTCATATTTACAATTGGTTTGTATTTAAACAATAGTGGATTTGACGTGTTTATCATTAGAATTGTATATTAATTACTTTAAATTGTTCATGAATACATTTTGTGTCAAAATAATCGAGTTACTATTTAAATTTATTTAAAATATATCGGGTTGAAGTTACAATATTAGTAAGGAACGGATTTTACAAAACACAATTTGTGTTTAATCAGTCTTACCTTTCATACTAAAAAGGCTTCCTCCAAAGAGAGGCTCAGTTTCTTCCGAGAAGAAAATCTTATGGTCAGTGAAATGTTGAAAATCCTTTACTGTGATATTTTTAGTGATCTCCGGATCTCTAATAATAATTATCTTACTCGTGCCTTCGATGTAGCCCACATATCTGTTAATAGAAAAATTTATGGAACAATTTATTGTATGACAAAATTATTTCAAACTCACCTCTCTTCTGGGAAGGCTTTGTATACAGCTTCAAGATCGTCCAGAACATGGCATTTAAGAAACAAGCTCCTTAAATTATTTCCAAAAACAGGAACACCGGGTAAATATTTTATGCCGCGGTCATCGAAATACTTATGAATACTTTTGTGTGTATAAATAAAATATACTATGAGAGAAGTTAGTAAAAACACAACAATTTCGATGATCATTTTGATTTGAACTGCTACGACGTACTATCTCATGCGCGGGACGTTAAATAATAACAGCGAACTTGAATTATTTATTTCAATAGCTATTACGTTTAATAAATGTCGAACGGTTGGAAGTTATAAGCGGTTAGCAAGAAATCTCAAATCGCAAAATACAACATTAGCTTTATATCACCTTATAATATTATAGAGCCATTAATTGTTGCTAATATTTTTAAAAATTTTAAATGTTATCATCTTTTTTAATTAATGTTTCTTTTCCTTTTAATAACGTTATACGAGTATGATAGACAATTAGTAAATATATCGTCAACGTCTATTTGTTCCTTCAGGGACGTTTAAAGGCCAGGATGTCATTTTAAATATGTTATCAAGGCCCAATCGTATGTAATAACGGGAAGGATGTATCACTGTGAAGACTATTATTAACTGCTGTATTTTGAGGTTGATAGATTTATTTGTCTAGGTTATAAAATTTCGCAACAACTTTAAGAACCCGGCTTTGCTTCATAACTTTTTTTTATTATATGATGAACTTATGTATTTCTAAATAAAATAAACTTGCACCACTTGAGCTCATCTGAAACGAAAAATTTTTATGACAAAACAAAGGAACAATAAAAAAATAAAATATTAATTGTTTCTATGTATTTACATACATGATTTCAAAGTGTCCTTTGTTTAACAAATATATGTATAAAATATATATACCATTCGTTGTGTAAACTCATGGATCCCTGATGTTGAGAAGCATTCTCCTCCTCGCTGAACATTCTGCTGATCACTCGCCAGAGCTGCTATTAAAGCACTCCTTGGGTCGTACTGCCCAGAACACTCCGAATTACAACTAGTGCAAAAAATGGCTCTCCATCCAACAGGGAGACATCTTGTAGGGCACTACATGTTATTATTCGCACAGGCGGTAATTCGCAACCTTGGTTCGGTAAGTCCTTTGAAGGAGCATCACGCTTAGAAGAAGAAGATTATCAGAACAAAGAAGGAACAGGTAAGCAAAATTGGTGAGAGACAATTGCAAGTCCCCGCGAGAACTCGTTCCTGTTGGTCTCTCGTTAAAACGATGCAAGGGAATTTGTGTATCCATTATTCACCGTTCTTGTGAAACCCAGATAGCCCGTTTATTCAGCTAAAGAGACTGTCTGGGTACTGTTTTTGATTCGAATTCGACTTTTGATGATGAGTGATGAATGTGCCGTTTACGCACAGAACTGCACTTGTGAACCTGTTGACCCTCGACGTCAAGAAGTTCCGTTTCAGATTGTATCTTAGTTATTGTGTTTTAGATGTCTAGTGCTCCAAAGTACCAATTAATTCCATTTGACTCCTTACAATATCTGACAGTTCGTGTTATCAGCGATCCCATGTTCACAAACGATATAGAAACCTTAAGCCTGTTGTTCCGTCTGTACAACGGAAAATGTTCTAATTAAATATTTTGCATAGTGTCATCGTCACCAGAAAGTAATGTCACCTTGTCATTGCACCACTCGCCGTAGGGTCGGATTTCAACCACATTGTCGTCAAAAACGTGCGTCGTGGTAAATTTATCCACGTCCATGAAGTATGTGAGATGATTTTCCACCTGAGGTTTTTCCAGAAAGCTACCTTACGGGTTTCCCAAACATGTTCAGGTACCTCCTCCACAATCAAGGCTGGCAACACATGCACAATACTTTTTATGTTGCAGGTGTCCATGGGCAATGGTGATTAATTCTCCTTAGGTAGGTCGTCTGCCTCTTTCTAATATTCATATGTATATATAAATATATTTAGAGTTTAATGAGATCTAAGATTTTCGCAAGTACTCATTTAAATGAAACTAATTATGTGTGTGTCTCCACATTTCTTCTGCCCGTGATCACGGCTGCTGTAAAATAGCCGAAACGTCGGGAGTATGTAGTTTATAGTCAAAAATAAAAAACGTGTAATAAATCCGAAAATATTAGTTTCATTTATATTTATAGTTTGCCGAGACTAGTTACCCTATAACAATCACTTCTGATCGTTAGTCTCCTAATAACTGTTTCAACAACCCTGGTCCTGGGTAGTCTGCTCAAATGTTCCAAACCTTGAAACAAATGTTCAAAACCATTTTGTTGATACCAGGAATATAAATACACGTATACATTTAAATATATCGCCCGTCACTATAAAATTAAAATTAACATAAAATAAATCCTTGCCATTCATTTAAATGAGATTCAATTAACATACTCTTCGATTAACATCCTCTAACCTAACGACCTAAGACATTCTTCAATAATATGTTTTTCATACTTCTACAGTAGGTACTGCAATAAAAAAAGGATCAAGGAATCTTAATTCTACAAATATAAACACAAACCATATTTTAGATCTTATAATATAACGATATAAGCCCTTTAATTATTATATACTAAATATCTTGTATTCTGACAATGTTTCAGTCTACAACATAGCAGAGCTGTCTCATAATAATTAACAGAACGCAGTATTTTGAGGCGACATTCATTCCTCACGAATTCATGAATTTATTCATGTGTTCTCCAACAATTGTTGGTTTACGTTTATAATTTAGAAGGAACGTTATATCTCCGGAAACTATTTGAGTCCCAAATGTCGTTCGTCTGGTAGGAAATCACAATGTTGTCATAGCTTCAATAATTTTAACAGTTATTTTTGGTTATTAATCCAAAATTTAAAACTTTAGTTTTCAATCGTGCGTGTTGCGTCTCATTTCTATAATATGAATAATATCTATTTATATTCCACTAATGATGTGTTGTTTAAAATTAACATTAATGTAATGTTTTTGTTTGATAACAAATTTTTGAAAACAATATATGTAAGTGACGTTATGGAAGTAACGACTGATAACATGACAAGTGGCAGTTGCCGGTATCAATTAGTATTAAATGCTCACCCTTGAACCAGACACTTATCATATAAACAAGTTACATTCGATCACTATTGTAATTCGTGACTAAACAAACATTAATAACATCTTCATTTGAGGTCAAAACCACAAGTCTAACTTAAATTTTATATGTATAAAAGTACTATCTCCATAAAAGGTTTCTAAAATGTAAGTTACATTGGATGTTAGGGATTCTTTATAATACGAAACAAGCCAATAGAATAGTTATAATAATAATTACACCGAAGACGTACTCCTATGACTTTAATAAATTTTGCTTGAGAGTCAATATTTAAGAACAATTAAAACAATTAACATAGTTGTGTTAATCAAATTAGATTTTGACATATAAAACATGTTATGTATGTAGTAGGTAGTTAATAGGCTTACATCTGCAAAGAGTCTTTTTCGTATTTTATTATGAGATTTTATTAGGTAAGTTATACAAAATTATGATTGATTTAATATTTAATATTTTACGATCAGAATTCAGACACTTCCATAAAAGTAAACACTCTTTGTTTATGATGCATTTATTGCATATAATTTAAAGGTTATTCAACGTCGGATTGGTACATAGAGAAATGGCGCTCAGAATTAAAATGCTGGGATAAATCTAATCTTAGTCGGTCATAAATCTTGGTTCGTTAATTCTAATATCTGATGTTCTTTTAAATAAAATAAGTTATTAACAAAGTGTGTTGAAGATTTATGCATAACGATGAAAGTTAAACTGTTCTGTCACACCCCAGGTATCTAAATGAAAACTTCTGGATTTTTTTGTATTGTTATGATCCACAAATTCTGACTAGCTCTTGCATGCATGAGCGAGTAACTTTACCCCTACTGTGCTGCCGAAATTTACGGGACATATGATAGATGCACAAATGACTTTTATAAATTTTCTTTTCTTTCTTCTTTAAATACTGAAAGTAATATATATTATTGCATTTGTATAGAACGCTGACAAAACATCTTATTGTGGTGTTGGTTAGCCTAGCTTCAAAATCATTCGAAACTTTGAATGCTGTGTCTCATGTTGGCAATTTAAATAAATCATTTATATGTAAAATAATTATTTTATTTGCTATATCTGCAATTTAATATATTAAAAAAGATTTTTGTTAAATAATTATAAACATTAGCATAATATGAACTGTGGACGCAAAAATGTTTAACATAGAGGTAAATTTGAAACAGTTGTAAATATGTAGAGCCATTTGTTTATTATATAATTTTTATTATAAAATAGCAGTGAATATTTTTGTTGTTAGTATATTTTATTTTTGTATCAATTTAAATCAATATTGTTGATTTAAATCAAAACAATATTAACCAACATATCTCAGTAAAAACAAATTTAGCTGACGTTGTTTTTTCTGCTTCGAACCCTTCGAGGTAGGGTTGTCAAAACTGTTTATTTAAGAAAAAATACATATCATGTTGCTGGAAGCTTGAAGACATCGATCATAATATGATAACGAGTCATCTTTGGGGTGACTATGGTTTTATGAAGGTTGTGGATATCATATGCACATGATTTACTAACGAAAAACGTTATATGTGATGTAGATTTTTATTTATTTGAATTTATTTAAAACATAATTGATCATTATCTTGAATTTGTTTCTAAATTAACTTTTAGTATGATTTTAATATTAAAAAACGGTCACCCTACATACGAAAGTCTTTTCCTTTGAGGAAAATAGAGCGAGTCAAATAACATTTGAGTCATCTGGTTGACAAGGAGAAGACCTGTTTACTGGCTATCATAGGGAGCTGATAATATTATTGATGATTTCGTTATTGACTTACTTCTGCTTGTTAAATACAGATTTATGTCAATAAAGACTTATTTATATTGGAACATATTGATTTATTTTGTCTAGCTTCTTATTATAAATTGGACTGTTTGTATAAAGACAATTATATAGAAAAGCTTACATTCTTATTTATGTTTCTGAGATATTCATATAATCTATTTCATATTTGACGACAATAAAAATATTTTCATTACGAAGTATTAGTTTTATGTATAGTACATTTTTATTCTCTATTTAATCACTTTCTATATATCGACTTAATT